TGTTTATATTTTTCTCTTGCATTTTTACTTGGAATATTTCGGACAAAATAGCTTTCCATAAATTTCATGCAAGAATAGAGGTACAATATTTTTCAAACATTGAGTAAAATGTTATAAATTATTTTCACCTTTTTAAAGAAAATTTCGTCTATTTCAAGAAGTATCGCTAATGTTCGGAACACTGTATAACAGATGCACGAGACAGGTGAGGTCAGCATCACCTTAAACATCTTGTTCTTTGTCTCGACGACCTCGATAGTTTTGCAAGGCAGTGTGATTAATTGCTCTTCGATATTCCACGCTGATAAAATGAATGAAAAAAAGTTGACGGAGTAAATATGCTGAAATAAAAAATGTTTATGTTACATATACACTATTTGGACACTCGGTGCGATCTATTGTAATTAAAAGGTTCATACACATGTCTTTATTGTATTGCAATATTTCTACCTGTAATCAGCAACAATGAATGTCGTTGAGGTGTAGAAGATCTAGGATGCAGTATATGACAATAAATTTACCAACAAATCAATGAAAATTATTAAATATCGCGTTCGTCTATGTGTCCACCTGAAATATTGAAATATTCTTCTTTTCGTAGAATTCCATCTATTCTTCCTAAATTGTCCACTTTATTTGCGCCAAATCACTACCTCCATGTTTCACCGTTGGCACAACATATTGGGGTAATAATTTTTCATGAAATTTTCGACAAACACTTGAAGTCGATGAACCCAAGTGTTTTCGCAACATCAATTTTCCACCGATTTCGGTTGTTGCTTTTTCATTTATACTAATTCACGTCAAATGTTATTTTCATTGGTATTTATAAACATTACGCGGGTCGCCTGGGATAAGATCGCAAGCCAAAACTATATTAGAGAGTTTTGTTTAAACCATATTTCCTGCATAGTGTCCAAATACTTACGCACGGTAGTATACATATTTGTATATTACAATAATACAGAAATCAAATATTACACATTTCACTCTTCGGTGTAATAAATTTCTGTGCTCGATGTTTCACGTTGATAAAACGAAGAAAGGAGAATAATACAACAAATACGTGAGAATGATGAAACAACAAAGTACACTAAACATACGTATATCGTTATTCATGAATAAAGGGAAACTTGTAGGTGGTTCGAATATTATTTTAGATAATTTATTGTACTATAATACAATAGCGGAGAGGCTCTGTGGAAGTGGGAGACTCGATATTCCAGCAAATTTCTTTGTCAGTGTTCCTCCTCGTGGCTTCTTCTCTGCGGCAAATTCATGGAACTTGAGACTTTCGAACAGGAACCATATCTTACTCGAGTTTCACTCGCGTTTGAGGAATTCGGTTCTCGGATCGTTGTCGTTATTTTTCGCTAATTTCCCCACTGGAACTTTTCTCACGGACCTCCCCTTTCAGTTTCCCAAGGGGGAAACCGAGTCGTGGAAGTTTCCTTTCGTGTTGCGGAAATTTCGAGCCACGAGAATTTCCTTTACGTTCCAGCCAGTGGACAGAAATTATTAAGAGGGGAATAAAAAGTGAGGGAAACGTGAATTGCGAATTTGTCACCGGGGAAAGAACTTAGGACTTTCGATGAATTTTTCAGTTAGGGAATTAGAGAATTAGGAGAGAAATTAAGTATTGCTAATAAGGGAACCTTCGGTAACCCGAAATGTCCGATTTTTTTGAAACTTTGTGGATTTGTAGGAGACCTCGAGAGAAGTGTCGGGCAATTTTTGTTTTTGGCCCAATTTCGGTTCTTCGGTGATTTGTAGGAGACCTCGAGAGAAGTGTCGGGCAATTTTTGTTTTTGGCCCAATTTCGGTTCTTTGGGGTGAAAGCAGCCCTTGAATGAAGATAAGTGTTACCCTATTTCCCTGTATATCTTCAAAACTATAGTAGATATAAAAAAATGTTTGTAACAAAAATTAAATGGCTTTTTATACCTTATCAGACTGTACTATTAAATAAAAAATCTTCCACTACCGTTGTTGTGAAGAAATCGGACACTTCAGGTTACCGAAGTTTTCTCGTAAGCTAATCAGAAAAATGAGAAATTCAGATGTTAGGAATGTAGGAAATTGGTTAATTGGTACAGTAGCCAATTGAAGAAATGGAAAATCTAAGTGAATCGGCGAATTAGCGATTTGGAGAAGTTAGGATTTGGCAGAATCAGGAAATTCGAAAATTGTAAAAATAGGGAGTTGGTAAATTAGTAAATCGAAGAATTAGAGAGGCAGGAAATGAAATATTTACCGATTAAAATTGCATCGAACGAACGAATTGAAATCGAGTCGGGTCGAATTGTTATCCTTCGATAAAATCTACCGTGGACGAATGCCTGATTTATACGAAAAACGGGAAGGAAAAATAGCTATGTATTCATTTGATATTCAGAGGCGAGCATTTTCCTTCTCACGATGCGCCATAACATTTTTCTTCGCCTGAGAAAACCTCGCGCAGTTACGTGTTTTCCTGCACATTAGCCATCGATGCTTTATACACGCGGGCAACTAAACACTGCGCGATATTGTTATCGACTTTCCGCAATGGATCACGATAAAATATCGCCAAGATTAATATACAGGGTGGCCCATAAGTCGCTTTACCGTTTAAATATTTCAGAACGTATAATGGAAAAAAGTTATTCAATCTTTAAATGGTAACGTGACATATGATTCATCCTGTACATATTTATTTTTTCTAATCGTAACTAATTCTACACGGTGTCTCGCATAACTAGAACGAAGAAAAGGAATCTTTGTAACGTTAAACGAGATGCTACTGAATACTGTATAGTTATTTATTTTTTTCGAGTAGAATATACAGCGTGTAAGGGAAATTCGGAATTCAGATTGCAAAAATATTTGATTTATGCACCGACATTTTTTTTTTGACATTTCACGTCACTCAGTTGCTAAACTTAGGAAGGTATCGTGCTTCCCATTTTACAATTTGTAGCCACAGGTTGAGAATTGTTGTCACATGTTTGATTTCAGTTCAAATTAGAGTCAGTTACGGTGAAAGTATCAACGGGGAAAATAGGATTTTTTAATATGGTAATTGCTCAGGTACTTCATAAAAGAGTCCTGTAATTTGAAAAATTCTAGGCTGAAATGTGATGCATAGAGGGTTTTCATGAATAATTTTCATTTTATAACGGTAACGTTCTGCTTCGAACTTACTTTCCTCGGGTTGCAAGAATTGATTCCCTTTCTTCAAGGAACTTTGACCTATTATAAGTTTTAAAAGGGAACTCTGGTCCACGCAAATATCTCGTTAGTCCGGTTGATATTAAGGAATGAGATCAGTGGACCTGACGAGGCTAATTTTAATCTGAAATCGCTGCACAGTGTGTCCGTTCGAAATAATTAGACAAACTTACAATCCGGATGATTTTTAAACCAACAGTTTTCGTATTTCGGTAAAAATGTGAAAGTAGTATAATTTCGTTCGATGTGAAATAAAATGCTACGACCTTCTTAGATCAGCGCAAAATTCAGGAATAAAGTTAGAAAATTATTTAGTGGAAATTATGTGTAATTAGAATATCCAAAATGAGAATTTCGACGAACCATGAAATCAATAGTGAAATTTCGAAAATATTCAGTATGAATTCCAAGGATAAAATGACATAACAGGAAACGAGGAAAAAAGAACGAACTTAAAAAAATTCCTAAATCAGCGTTGAAGCAAAAGAGAATTAGAATATATAAAATCTTGGACCAAAAGAAAAATAAGACATAAAAAATGACTGTGTTGTTTATTATTATTAAACTGTTATTTTTCGTATACGTTGAAAGTACTTGATTCTTCCTGACTTATTTATTTCCACTTATTTTTCACTTTACCCCTACGTAAATGAGAATATTGTAAAAGTCTTTTAAGCAAATATTTGATCACTTTTCTTAAATGACATACCTTTTGTATTATGTATTTTCAACTACTAAAGTGTATAATCCAATACGGTAAAAAGTATGCTTGTTTCTGTCATTTTCAAGACTGTTGTTTATTATTAAACCTTAAATACCTCACTTTGGTTTCCCTACGACAGGTCACTTCTTTCGTTTCTCTTGAAAATACTTTTTGATACTTCAAATGTTACGCTATCAAATCCTTCAGTTATGCGTTATACGATGGTACTTAAGACGTTGTAGTGTTGTTATCTCATTTTCCAAAAATTGGTCACTCACAATCTTGCGGAATGGAATCCTTAAATTATCGCCAAACGTCGATACACGTCATTCAGCCGAAGAAAACGCGGATTCTAATAGAATCAGCCCCGTGACGCATGCGCGGCGAGTCGTCCAACGTCTGCCACGGGGGTTGTCGAATGTTCAACCCTTAGTCTGGCGCCGCGTGCGAGCGCGAGTCGACCACGGCGCTCTTTCGATCGTCCGCCGGAAACGATGAACCGCGACACGACCGATGCCCGTCGCTCGAAATCCGACGACCCAACCTGAAACTTAACCCTCGCTCTTCCCTTCGCGTTTCTTCGACAACAAAGAATAAAAAAAGAAATGAACATTTCTACAAAAATCAAAGTGGTCCTTCAGAGCGTGAAACAGCCTGACAAGTGTGACAAACACCTTTGGTCCTAGCTAGCCTAATCTAACTAGTGCAACAAAGTCACTTTTCCTATAAAAATTGACAGTTTAAACTGTACAGAGAAGAGTGTAATAGTCTGTAGGAGAGATGATATTCAGTGGTCCCTCAGGATTCACGATCACTCAAAACTCTGAACAGAGGAGAACAGCCTAAGTCAGCTCGATAAGTGTGCTAGATAACCAGAAGGAAAGAAAAAAATGAACATTTCTATCGGAATCTACCGGTCCCACGTGATCTCCTCTCCGAATCACCGAGAGCCGTAAATATTCACGGGGCAAAAGGAAAGAAATTGGAAGATGAGAGAGAAAATGATAGAACCAGGTCAGTGAGACGCACAGTGGCTGGGACACGTGACACGGAAATGCCTGGAGCCGCGATTACGTGACTGACCAAGATGAGCGTCCCACGTCGCTGGTACGTCCTCACTCTGCTCACGTGCTCGCTGTGGCATGGCTTGACTGGCCAAGAGGCGCAGATCGAGCGGCCAAAGGAGCTGCTTCGTCACCAGCAGACACACAGGCCGTCGTTCATCGACAGGAAGGTGGAGATGCGCGAGGGTACCGAACCTCCTTTGTTGGACTTGGACGAGCAGGAGGAGATCGAGGATCAGGTGACGCGTAGAGGCAAACTAGAGACGAGTATCGAGAGACCAGCCACACAGATCAGGCACAGCAGGTCCAGGAGCCATTTCGCTAGACAGGCTAAGCTGGATGATCCAGATTTGTCCTCTGTGTCAGGTGTATCTGGCAAGAGGAGCCAGCAGGTGGATAATGATTCGCAGAGTGTGGATTTTTCAAGGTTGGACAGGTCTAGGAGCAAGAATTTCGGATTCAACGTGATCACCGGGCAAGATCTGAGATCCTCCGGTACCATTGACGAACGATCCACCGTGGATCTGGATAAACTGTTGATCAAACTATCGGAGGCTGGCTCTGATCGTAGAAAGGAGGGCAAGGTTCGGCACAAGAGTGACTCGTTTAATAAATTGAAGAAAGCGATGGCTAGGAATAGACCTAGAGTGGCTAATAACAGGACAGCTGGAAATTTCACCGAAGTCTACGGCCATATAGTTCACGGAGCTTCCAGTGGTGATAGGAGTGACGAGGATGACGAGAATATATCTATCTCGATGGATTATGGCGATTACGATCCTGATGGAGGGAAGAATAGCTCGGAACAGGATTACGGGGACTATGGGAGGAGCGCGGATCGCGGCAAGCCTAGTAAAGAGCCTGTCCACGTGGACATTGTGACTAGGTTCCTGAGAATTATCGAGAATCAGCATCTTTTGGGAGAGAATTGCACTGCTGGGACCGATCTGAACTTGGGTGAGGGTATCGTGGATCAGTATGCTCAAGAAAGGTTCAGATTGGAGGCGAATCTCGCGGTGAACAGGGCTAATATGTTGACCAGACTGTGGAAGTACGCTCCAGAAGTGATGTTGTCCTCCGAGTACCTCCTGCACGCGAGCATCTTGTCGATGGTAGAGTTCGACGAGGATATATTCGCTGCTGGGAACTGTTACGACAAGTTGCAGTACAAGGATCGCTGGCTTTATTGTCCCTTCGCGCACAGGCTGCAGGATGAGGATGGGATTCTCGTGAAGGACCTGGCGATCGAGTACAAGTATCTGAGCAACAGCAGCGAGTGGTTTTAGAAGGTGATAGCGAACAACGATCAGTTCAGTCGCGGTGAGTGACGCTCTCAGGCTGGTTCGAAAATCTATTTTCCTCCTTTCAGGAATTTGGTTTTATTTGTGTACGATCACATTGGTTCTTGAGTCTTTCGATTCTGGGAATTCTAGAGGTATGGAAGAATTGGGGAATATTTTGTGGGTTGCTTGTGTTCTTGGTATCTTCTGCAATTTTTTTGTACATCGTAGTTTCGTTGTTGAAATTTTTGAAGTTAAAGTTGGAAGTGAAATTATGGAGTTTTTGGTAATTTTGTAATTGTGGAGTTTTTGAATATTTTTGGTCTTCCTGGGTATCTAGATTACTTTGGTTACCTGGTGAACTGCTTTGGATTCATTTTAGTTTCACTTGAAAATTTTTATTACATGTGTTAGTTGACTTGAGAGTTTGGATTTTTGAGATTCTTAGAAGTATTCAAGAATCTCTTGAATCCTTGATTCAAGAATTGGAGAACATTTTAGGCCTTCCTGGGTACTCACAGAGTTGCTCCAGATCTAACTCGTCTCTTTCTGAGAATTTTTCCGCATACGACAATTGTTTCTTAAAATTGAAAATTTTTAGAATCCTTATCTCCACAATTTTGAAAAGAATTCTCTGATAAATATCAGGCGTCTCGTGTTAAATTTGAGTTTTCAATTTTTTTCACAGAGGATTTACGCGTTATGTCGGTCCAAGTGGCACTGAAAAAAACTGGACTCTTTCAGCGAGGTATAATATATTTGGGCTTAATGAATTGCTCGTTTTAATTTCTTGTTTGCGACTCTTCCTGCAAAGTAACTACGCCCGGCTAAACGAGAATTTACACTTCTTCGAGAATTTATTTCTCTGCTGCTTCGATATTATCACCGCGTGAGAGGGAAAGGGGTTGAAAAGGACTTCATTAAAAGCAGTCCGGTGCAATAGAGAGGGTTGTTTTAAATGAACTTTCGAGTGTACCGTTGAGTCGCGGAAACACGCGAAAAATGGTGAATGTTCTTATATTTCCGCAAGCAAATTGCACATTTCACAGCTGCAGCACATCGGAGATACATTTTACTGTGTATTTATTTCTGACAATTATATCGTATTTAACGTGCAAATTTTCGTTGCAATAACTATCGAAAAACAGTAGAATTTATTCAAACAGTCGATGCTCGTTTTCCTATTTTTTTCTATTCACTTGCGCTAGTGAAAGATTGAACAGGCTACGATTTCCAATATCCTGCGCGAGTCATCCAGTTCTGAGCGCTTTTAGAAAATTTTCTACCCCGATAATTGGCCAACCTCTGCACTGAAAATGGTGCATTGCTAATTAGGCGTTCAGTTACAATCAATGAATGTGTTTCCCCGCTAATCAATCGCAAGTGGAGATTTGTCGAGATACACGCAGTCAGACAAGTGAAACAAAGGGTCTTCCAGGCCATGTGAGTGGATTGGAAGCTCTCTTTGTTCGAACAGGTGGAATAAGGCACCTTTTTAGATGTACGAGCAGAATATGACTACCTTCTTCAGTCCATCAAGTGGAATAAAATATCTGTTGAATCATGCAATTGAAGTACGTTTCCCTCTTAGTCGGACAGATGGAGCAGAAGTTAGACAGACGTCTGTGCAAGTAGAATAGAGGTTATTTTTATTCTGACAAATGGGATAAAACATCTCTGTAGTCCTGCAAACGAAATAAGATATCATCTTTAGTCAGAAGCAAGTGGAACAGGATCATGCTACAGTCAGCCAACTGGAATCGGCCTGTAGGCAGATGTAAGTAGAATATCACATTCACTAGTCAGACAAACAAACAAAGTCTCTAGCCCTTTGACTACGAAACACGTAATATACGCCCTCTACATTTTTCTTACTGTAACACCTTTACTGTTTTACCAATTGTTAAGTAAATTAAAAATAGCTGAGAAAACTACTTAAAATAGATGAAAAACTGAATATTTTTAATTTATTTGCAACTATTTATTTTTTCAACCCCAAGAATGGTATCAAATCTCCGGGTACCGTTTTGGTCAGTAGTCAGTGGACAACCAGTCGCAGCGACTGATATGCGAATATCGCGTCGTCTGTATTGATGGTTCTCTCCGAGAGTGAGCCGCAGTCAAAAGGCTAGAAACAACTACAACAGAACCGTTCGCTATTCAGATAAGTGAAGTAGGGCTGTTTTATTATCAGACAGGCGATACTGTTCAGAAAAGTAGTAATAAAATTTTATTCACCTATAAAACCAGAATAAATATCAATGGATAAGTAGAGTATTAAACTGTCAACCGTTGGTCAGAAAAATCTTGAAGGTGAATTCAAGAACACCTCCATTTTTTCGCATATTAACGTCTGTTCTTTGCAATGCTACGTTGTAGCCGACATTAAGACGAGTTCAACGACCTGTAACATCGTGACTTTGAAATTACTTCGATCAATGTAAAAATAACGAAACGAGGGAGAAATGAAACTTTCCTGCCAAGTGAAAGTTCATTTTCTACAATAGGACAGATTCTTCCGGTCAGAAGAACGAGGTGACAATCAAAATGCATTAATATGCTTTCTGTAATAACTTCGAATAAAAGCAGATAGATTTGAGCGATGAATTTATCACGTGTTGAATTCTGCTTTATTTAATCACTCCTATTCGGCCTATCGTTATCTTAACGATATTATCGAGGATCGTTAGCAGCACCGCTAGTTAGTCCACGTAAGAGCGCTCTTAATCCAACGGGTAGCAAATCGTTGCAACGTGCAGTAATCATAAGTGAAATGTGTAGTAAAGGAACAATAGCAATCTCCGTTAAATGAAATTATCAACAGGAGAATCGTTATCGTCGCAGTAACGAAGATTCTCAGCCAAGCTTTTTCGCTTCCTCGAAACTTCATTTCGCGCCTAGGAAGCCCCAACCTCTATCGCGGATATTGGAAACGTCGGTTTCTCCCCTCCTCCCCTCTTCTCACCCTTTCTCCTCCACAGGGGGTAAAGAGCCGACCCAGATTTTAATGGAAGGCCAGTCCTCAGATTACTTCCGCTTCCCGTATGGAGTACTTCATTGTCTGTCGAAATTGAATAATCGAGGAAAAAGAAATATACGAAGACCGGGGAATCATTTCACCGGTCGAGCGATGGCCTTCCAGCCGCGATTTCCGCCACGAGCAAATTCCCCTTTGCCTGTCCAGGCGCTCCTTAAGCTGGTTTCCATCACGTTCAACCGAGTTTCGGGAAAGAAAATATTTTATTTACTGTGAAAACAATTGAATAATAGGAAGTAAATAGGTAAACATTTGACATTGATGCTACGGTTCGAAAGATGACCTTAAGGTGGTTCCTATGAGGGTCATTCTGAAGAAGGTCCTCGAGTGATTAGGGAAAGTTTTAGAATTTCTACTTTTGTGCATTGCAAATTTTGCAATATTAATATAGTTTCTATGAATGTCACTGCAAGGGAAATATAAAATCGTGGAAAGTGATTACTGCCAAATTTTCATATTGCCAAGCTTGCAAGCCTACGTTAATTTGCATGATTTTCGTTTGTAACCCGAAAAAAAGGCTCTCGTTGGAAAGAAAATGGTAAAAAGTTACTACTGTCGCTTCTTTTAATCTCCAAATTTTCGAAATACCACATTTAGAGCCTTAAGCTCAACCTCATAAATCAAAATCTCACATCGAAAAATTAAATCACAAAAAGTGACCTCAGTAATATTTCCCGAAGTGCAAATATCGTAATTAAAAATTAAACCTTAAGCTGCTCTCCACGATTCCACTTTCGCGAATAAAGAACCATAGAACTCCAAAAATAATTCAATTCAATTCCATTACATTTCCTTTGGTCCAACACTCAACTTTCTTATAAACCTTTCGAATTCTTTCAAATTACAAATTTCGCCACATTCCTTCGTACGAGCACGCATCACTCCACAAAAGGCAATCGAGTATTCACGCTCACTTCTTCCCTTCTGTCGAAATTACACTTTGATAAGACTCGTTACTCTCTGATTGCATTCAGTCGTCTATTAATTCGATTCCAGTATTCCGCCCGGAAACGGGGATCGCATTCCGTGAAAACCGCCCTCGAAGATCGCAATTTCACACAGCTACCGTGTGTGTACACGCTCACACACGTTTATATACATAGGTTGCATTCGAAATAACACGGAATTTTCAGGTGTAGAAGGATGAGAGCGTGTTCGATGGCTGTTGAAGCTTGGGCGTGAAACATGTTACCAGCTCGACGCAGTCATTACACGTAGTTCAACGAATTATCGCTTAAATGTTTAATTACACACCTCTCCCTGCCTTTTCGGATGGAGTAGCGTTAATTGCGCGTGTATCGTTGACGCGATTAGCCGGAAGTTTTCCAGGTTCCCCGCATAATAATCGCTTTTTCGCGTTGTGCTCTCTCTCCACCGTTGGAATACTTTCTATGTACAAGTTGTCTCACAGTTACGGGTTAATAAAGTATGCAGGGTGACAGAGAAAAATGTATGGAAGATTTTTTGTCAACTGAACGTGTGCCCGATTTTTGTCCGTTCACGAGTAATGGAGATTCGAAGATGCGGCAGTTGGGCGCCTGACTGCAGGCAACCCGCCAAGTGCTGCTCCTTTATATGGGGAGTTTCTGACCCCTGTTTTATGAGATTGTTTTTACTGGCTGTGTATGGTGGCGTTAATTATTCAGTGTTTCAGTACTCTGAAGGGGGAATATGGGCGGAAATGTGATACGTAATTTACGTTTGGCTATTCTCTGTTTCGTGAATTAAGGTTTCAGAGTGAATAACTATTATTAGACTTTATTTTTGAGAATAATTTGACTAGAATTAAAAGTGTTATTTACATCTTCGTTATTTTCTGTTTCGTGGATTAACGTAGGAGGAAGAGTATAGTTAAGTTATGTTTGGAGAATAATTTTAATGAAATTTGAGAATAATTGTAATTAGAGTAAATAAACATAATTTATGTCGGGAGTGCAAGAGTAAGATAATTGCGTTATTTAAGAAGAGTGTCATTTACGTTTTCTTCTACTGCAATTATAATT